GTCAAAATTTTGGTGACGATCATTCGATTTCATCCTGGACACTACAGAAAATGGGCTAAAAGTGTTAAAAACCGGAATTCTCCTTTAAGTACAGTAACGAAGTATTTGTACTTTGTTACTTGACACCTTTGATAATTCATAATATCACAGGACAGATGGGAAGAAGAACATGTATGTGATCAGTGAAGAATGTAATTTGTTAAACTAAATCTGAAAAAGAGAAATTTGGAAAATAAAATAAAAGGTTTACAACTGGGTCACTCCCCTCTTACATTTTCAGATGGTAACCTTCTCTGAGAGATCTTCAAAGCTTCAGTTATTGTTTGTGAATTTAACTGCTGTTTTTTCATTAATGTTCACCAAACAGGTGACTTTCCAAGGCAGTTTTTTGCACTGAATTTTATTTATGGGGAATAAATGGGAATAACTAGAAATTATCACTAATGAGGTAATGTTTTTAAATTGTACATTATAGAGAATTATTCAGGATTTTATGCCACTTCTCAGCTTTGCTCTGTTGTGTGTTGATCTAATAAAGTCCAAAACTCACTCATGATGGCAACTGTAAGCTGACTAATGTAAACAGTTTCAATATTTTATTGTGATGCAGAACTCTAAAATATTATTTTATTTTTAAAAAGCATCAATATTCATGTTTACATTCTTAAATGGTATTCCCTAAGTATCTTAATTCCATAGGGAGTGGGTTGGACTGGATGATATATAGAGGTAAGAAAATAAAGGATGATGAGTTTAAATTGATTTTTATTTCAAAATAACGCAAAACTATCTGATGGTTTCCACACATTTCAGCCTGTTATTCTAAAAATGAATGGAACAGAACCCCCTAAAATAAATATTACTATATTTATTTATACATATGGAGTGAAATAGTTTTACTTTACTGATATTTATTTTATCTAATTGATCATTTTAATTGTATTTATGATTACATAACTGGACATGTAATTATGCCTTTTATAGTTAACAGGTGGATTTAATATTTGAATGATGTATTAGATACATATATTCTATGTCTACTTACGTTATGGTATTTTTTATTTACTTCATTATTATTTTTGGGGTTCATATATCTCAGGAATCACATCACAATGATAGTGAAAACCATCTTGTCACCCCAAATAAGTCCCAATAAAAATAATTTTCATGATTTATTATAGATGCGCTGTAATGACTAAAAACAACAAGACCCAGTCACAGAAATGCAACATTTCCCAAGTTTATAGCCGTTTATTTATAACAGTCTCATGGAATTACTTCCATGGTTGAGTGCAATAATAGGAGATGCCTTTATCCCACAAGACAGATGTCACCCATATTGCATTCAGTGAAATTTGGTAAAATAAATAAACCATAGCTCTCCATTGACCTGGCCTCTCAAGTATAAAAACACAACATGATTGCCTTCATTATTCAGTCTGAGAGGCTGGGTGCCTACGATCCGACTGACTGAATGCTGTAGTTTTGCATCGGAGCAGCTCTGAGCTGCAGCAACAAAGGTCTTCATACGCTAACGGATCCAACATCCTATGGAGGGAAATTTGCTCCATTATTGCTGTAAGCAAAGAACACGTGCTGTAAATGGAAAAAAAGAAAAAAAGGAAAATTTGGAAAAAAATGCAATCCTGAAATTAAACTTTTAAGGTTTTAGAGTAATTTTGTTCTTTTCTCAGATCTTTTTCCCCCCCACATATTTTTCAAATATTTTTAATATTTTCAGATTTTTGTTTTTTAAATGTCTCATTTTCAGATTGAGTTTTATGAATTTCATTTTTTTTTTCTTAAATTGAGCTTTACTGATCACATTCTCTGCTATAGTGGTGGTCTTTGCTATGGAGTGAGGAGTGAAGACTCATTTCTATTGGTCGGTGTGGATGTTATCAACATCTTTATTGGTCAATGTGCGTGTCAGGAGTGAGCATTTGTATTGGGTTTAATGTGGAGAAAATGTGACGAGAATGCAAAGATGCAGTTCTTAAAACTCAATCTGAAAAACAGAAATTTAAAAAAGAAAATTTGAAGATAGAAAATTTGTAAAAAAAAAAAAAAAAAGTCAACAAAAATGAAATGTAAATTATGTGAGGATGTGATTTGTGAAACTCGATTTGAAAAGAATGTAATTCGTAAAATTAAATCTGCAAACACATTTAAAAAAAAAAATTTTTTTTAAATTTGCAAACAAAACGTTTTTCAAAGTTTGATTTCTGGATTGAACCCCAAATTTGAAATTACAAAACATGTTTTTTGCTTATGCTACAATGATGGAACAATATTCCCTCCATACCTACCAGGAAGCAAAGGGGGAAGAGATTTTGAAACGGAGTACGAAATCGAGCGACACTCAAAGCTTTGGAAGCACTGGATTTGTTTTACATTAACATCACTGTACATAAGAAAAAGCACCAAGACATTTTGGTAACATTAAAATGGACGTGTGCAAACAGGTTCGAAGCCTGATCAGATGATGGGAGCACGTGGAGCACGGTTCCAAACACACGTTAACGATTCAACAAGCCATGCAACATTAACATGCATAAGACGGTGGATCGCTTAAACCATAGAGGAGGTAGATTCACAGAGCACTAAACAAACAGAAGCAACGAGGAAACCTTACAGCTCTACATCGCACATTGCATAATCAAGCTGTAGCATAGTTTTGTGGAGCACTTTAAGCAGCTGTAGCCTTTCAGCCTGTGCTGCGGTGCTGTATGGCTTTGGCTTGCATTGCTTGTTAAATCCAGGAATGCTCAGTTCCACCCTTAAGCAGAAGTCCTTTATATACGGACAGAGTATAGTAGAGTAACCCCTTCACATGTAATCTGATTTGAACTATCAACATGTCAAGTAAAATAAAATAAATACAAAATTACATGACACATTTAACAAGCAGAATCACTGGACTACATCCAGACGCCACACGGATGAGGAAGATTACTTTAGTTTTGGTGATAAATGCAGCTGGATGTGTATAAAAACATACACTGTCGACCCTGGAAATGTTCTAGTGCAAGATAATTAAAGCTGAAATAATATTGTCGGAATGCCAGGGGCCGCACGCGCCGTCGCCTTTAAGGAGGGGAACGGTAACCGTGGATACGGTGAGGAGGAACGCTCTGAGTGACACGCTGAAGATCATGAGAGAGGAGAGCCGAGTTATCTGACACTCTGAGACATGTGCAGCGGGGTCAGCATCTCTTCGAAAATGGCGCCCTTCACGTTGGAGCCCCTCAGGTTGGCTTCTTGTAAATCGCAGCCGGACAGGTCGCAGTTCTGCATGAAGAGAGCAAAACGCAAGCAGAGGAGAGACATTAAAAAATATATTACAAATCAACATGCGTAAAATATTTAGCTAATTAAGACGAGCTCACTCCATTGAAACATTAACACATGAATAAAATCAGACAAAAAATCAGGACCAATGCCAATAATCTGCCAATACTGGCAGATTATTCCACTTATTTAGAGTAGAAATGGAGTTTAATCTCTAACAGAATCTGCTCTTGCTAAGTTTATTAATCTTAAAATAAGATCAAAGACTTTTTAGCAAGGTAAAATATTGTTGTGTTGCAGCCATTTATTCACTGGAGAATCTTTAATCACATGCATGATACAAGAACAAAATAAAGCCAATATATTCGGATACCGGCAGGCTGATTTATCAGTTCATCTTTAATAAAACGGACCTTTTTTGTCGCCTATTTCTTTCAACCGAGAGTTTAAAAAAAATAGACTACTATTAAAATAAAGTAAACATCTTTTCAGAGCAGGAATATAACGGATTCCACAGCAAAACATGATAATTTCAATCCATGCTACTGGAAAAACCTTTCAAGTTAAAATCATTGGCTTCTTTTTCTAGCTGAGGGAGGAGCAGCAACAAGCTGGCTTTCTGAATTCCACTCTTCATACAAAGATTATTAATTTTAGATCAACTTTTCTATACACGTTGCTTTAATATTAAAGCATTAGCCCAAATCAAAAACTGGTTAAATGAATGTTAACTTATAAAAACATCCAAGGTGATGTGTTTTAGGTCCATGTTGGGGTCTCTCCACATGTGATGCTATCAATGTGATGCTTTCTTTACTGAGTCTTCTGGGGGATTTTTCTAAGCTCATAATATGACATAATATGAATTATGACTGTAGAAGAACTGTTGGTGTTTCTGTTGGTGTTTTCCACCGATTAAGTAGTGATGATAAAGCTGCGGGATCTATTTTTCGTTTAGATTGGTCTAAAGCTTTTGACACAGCTAATCATAAAAATTTTTTTATTAATAATTTTTTTAATAAATTTGGACATCTGGGGTTTTGGGTTCCCCAGCGCTTGCCTTGGTGCTCTGGGGGGGCGGGCCTTTGGCTCTTCACAACCACTATTAACCATTTTTTTCTTTGGATAAACTTTACATGCACAAGTGGACTCTCACAAACTACGGAAGATGATTAGGGCCACCTGAAAAAAAATAATTTTACTGCTTTTTAAATTTTATTTCAGCTTAGTATGGGAAAAAGTCAGAATTCTGACTTTTTTCTCAGAAATCTGACTGGATTCTGACAGTAAAAAAAAGTCAGAATTTTTAGATTAAAGTCAGAATTCTCAGATTAAAGTCAGAATTCGGAGATTAAAGTCAGAATTCGGAGATTAAAGTCAGAATTTTGAGATTAAAGTCAGAAATCTGACTGGATTCTGACAGTAAAAAAAGTCAGAATTTTTAGATTAAAGTCAGAATTCTCAGATTAGAGTCAGAATTCTGACTTTTTTCTCAGAAATCTGACTGGATTCTGACAGTAAAAAAGTCAGATTTCTGAGAAAAAAGTCAGAATTTTGAGATTAAAGTCAGAATTTTGAGATTACAGTCAGAATTTTGAGATTACAGTCAGAATTTTGAGATTACAGTCAGAAATCTGACTGGATTCTGACAGTAAAAAAAGTCAGAATTTTTAGATTAAAGTCAGAATTCTGAGATTAAAGTCAGAATTCGGAGACTAAAGTCAGAATTCGGAGATTAAAGTCAGAATCCTGAGAAGAAAGTCAGAATTCTGACTTTTTTCTCAGAAATCTGACTGGACTCTGACAGTAAAAAAAGTCAGAATTTTGAGATTAAAGTCAGAATTCTGACTTTTTCCACCATACTAAAACTGAGATTCATTCTATTCAAACCTGTGTTTATTTCTAACCTTTAAGAACGGTTGCTTGCCCTGTGACACAGCCTCAGTGGCTTCCTGTAATGCTAATCATCCTCTGATAGCTTTTTCTCACCTCCAGATCTGTCCCCGCTAAAGTGGCCCCCCGCAGGTTGCAGTTCTTCAGCTTAGCGTTTTTCAGAGTGGCCACACGCAGGTTGATGCCCGTCATCTGGCTTCCTTCCATGTCAACTCCTTTCAGGTTTGCACCTGATCACGGAAGCAAAGAGATTAGAAGGAGTAGCATGTGGATGAAATCTTTTCTTTTAATTAATATCTGCAAAAGAAGTTGCCTTCGAGGTTGGCCTTCAGTCCGGATGGATCCTCAAAGTTGCATCCTTTTAGAGAGGCTCCCTCAGCGTTGCAGCAGAGCATCTTGACTCCTTGTAAATTAGCACCCTTCAAAGGAACAAAACAAAATAAAAATAAAAAACATCATCTCTTTGGTACGGAAGAGAATCGGGGCCACTGGAAAGAAAAAAAAG